ACCGCGGCCGCCACCACGGGCACCGCTGGCAGGTCTGTCAGGGGCGGGGTCACGGTCAGTGGGCGGGTCAGTGGGCAGGTCACCGGGCGGGTCACGGGGCGGGTCACGGGGTGGTCCACCGGCCACAGCGCCGGCGGGGTCACCGGGCGGGGCGCGCGGCGGGTCACCGGGCGCCACACGAGCAGCAGTGCCGGGCGAGCCGCGGGGCGGGTCAGGCGGGACACGGGGCGCGGCGCGGGGCGGGTCAGGCAGGACACGGGGCACGACGCGGGGCGGGTCAGCGGGCGGGCGACCACCACGGCCACCTCTGCCACGAGCACCACGGCCGGCGCCGGAAGGCTCACCGCCGGAGCGGCCACGGCCGGGCCGGGTCACGGTAGGGTCACGGGCGCCGCTGGGACGGTCACGGTGAGCGGGGTCACCGGGCGGACCGCGGCCACCGGTGGGGCGGGGCGCAGCACCGCCATGGGGAGGGTCACGGTCACGGGGTGACACGGGTGCACGGCGGGTCAGGTCAGCGCCGGGGCGGCCACCGGCGGCGGCACGGGACGGGCCGGCAGCGTCACGGGCCGGGTTAGCGGCGGGTTGGCGGCCACGACCCCCGTCACGGCCTCCACGACCACGGTTAGCACGCCGGTCACCACCGGGGTCACGGGAGGGACCCGGCACGGCACGGGGTGCGAGCGGCACAGCACGGGGTGCGGGCGGCTCGGGGCGGGTCACGGGCGGCACAGCGTGAGGCACTGGGGTCCGCACCACCTCACTGTACGTCCGTGTGGGGCCACTGTCACCGACAGCGGCACGGGCACCGGGCGACACGGGGCCGTGAAGGGGCACGTCACGGGCCGTGAACCCGGGTGGGGGCCGTCCTCCCCGGGACGGGAACCCGGGAGGGGTCCGTACACGACGGGTAGGGGTACAGAGCTGGGTGCGCGCGGCACAGTCACGACCACGGTCAGTGGGGGTCACAGGGGGGCCACCGAGGTCACTGACAGGCAGGCCACGGCGGGGGTCACCGTCCACCGGGTCCTGTGGGACGGGAGCACGGGACTGGTGGAACACCAGTGTCCGGCGGGGCCAGCCACAGCCGTCACCACTGGTGTCCCTCGGGGGTGAGCTGCCGTGGGAGGGCGGGTCACGGCCGGGGTGGGACGGGCGGGCCGGGTCACCGGGGCCGGGCACGTCACGGGCCGGGCCACCAGGGACGGCCCGCCGGTCACGGCGGCGCCGGCGTCGCTTCCTTCTCCTCCGCTCATCACCCCCACCGCTACCCGAGTCAGTCGGCGGGGAGGGGGCGGGGGGAGGCCGGCCGGCGGCGGACGGCGGCGAGCCGTCAGCTGACGAGGCAGAGGCCGGAGCAGGGACAGAGCGCGGAGCAGCGTCCGGCGGCGGCGTCTCGGCTCTGTCGGGCGGCGGGCAGTCAGCTGGGGAGAGTGGGGAGGACGGAGCCGGGTCCAGCGGCGGCGTCGGGGCTCTGTCGGGGGACGGAGCGTCAGCGGCCACCGGGAGGGGAGGGGAGTCGGTGCCGGCCAGCCGCAGCGACAGCGGCAGGCTGTCCTCCGTCACCGCCGCCTCGGAGTCAGAGGAGACGGCCAGGTCCTCCAGCAGCGTCCAGTCAGAGGGGGAGGGGGCCCGCGGAGGGGTCTCAAGGGTGATGTCCAGCTCACTCCCACTCTCCGACCGCCGACAAGCCTCCAGGGAGGGCGGGAACGGGGGCAGGAGGGGTGAGTCTGGACGGGGCGGGGAGGGGTCCCGCCGGGCCGGGGCCACCGGCCGCCGGCCGCCACGGCCGATCGCCGCCATGAATCGCCGGGCGAGTCGCTGGAGGGGGCTGGGACGGTCCCGGTCAGCAGTGGGTGACACGGGGTCACCGGGAGGGTCGGGCCGGGCCGGGCTGGTCCGCAGGGACGCCAGGGACCAGCGGGCGCGGGGCGTCGGGGCACACGGGGTGCCGAGCGGGGTGGACGCCTCAGAAGAGTCAGAGGACGGGGTCGACGTCACCCCAGACGATGACACATATGACGTCATATCCGACATCACGCCAGGGGACGGCACGGGCGACCAGTCCACCGAGGACACACCGGGCGACACAGTCACAGTGACAGCAGGGACGGGGGTGTCACACCGGTCACTAGGGCTGGCCGGCAGCACAGAGGGGCCGGGCCGGGGCGTCACACGGCCAGGGATGACGTCATCAGGCGTGAGGGTGACGTCACCAGAGCCGGGCCGGTCGGCCAGCGGGCTCGACATGTCCGAGCGGGGCGAGCCGGGGCCGGGGTCAGAGGCCGTGGCACGGAGGGGAGCGTCGGGAGGGGTGAGCGGGGGCAGGGAGAGCGCGTCGTCATCATCTGCCATCGGGCGGTCAGCATTGGCGGTCACACGTGACAGTGAGAGGGACGGGGTGTCCACTTGGACCGGTGAGCGGCGGCACTTCCGGGCGTGGTTCGTTAGGCCACGGCGAGTCGTAAAACTCCGGCCACACCAGCAGCGGTGGGGCATGGCCACCGGGCCCGCGGCGGCCGGCTGGGCGAAACAGCCGTGCCGGGAAAAGTGGTACGGCAGCCGGCACCTGCACCCACCACACACCCACTGGGCGTCGGTCAGAGCCACGTGGCAGCGTTTGATGTGGCGCCTCAGACTCTGGCGCATAGTCGAGGCATCACAGTTGGCATAGCGCCCCCCACATCCCTCCACGGGGCACAGGAGCAGCCCGGGGAGGGGAAAGGGGAGCACCAGCCGGCCATCAACAATTCGGGGCTGGGTGTCCGCCGCCCGGGGAAGGGACACGGTGGGGTCATGGTGCGGTGACACAGCCATGGTATGAAACACAATAGCACAGCGAGGCAATACAATACACTAGACCAACTCACACCACAACACAGCACAACACAAGCCAGCGAGTCGGGGGCGCCGGCTCGGGCACCGGGAAACCACGCGGCGAGGCCGGAGCGGAGAAACGGTATGGGTACGGTGCACGGAATACGGGTTATTTAGACGTTAAACAGGCCGAAAAGGGGTAGAATTGAAGCGAATGAGATCAAAAGAGATTTAGCAAAAACAAGAAACGTTCATCAACAGGCCGGCGTTAGGTGGGAAAAGGGGGGGAGGGGAGTTCAAATTCAAAGGTTTGGCGCCAAATCCCAACGGTTTGGGTTTTGGCGCGAAACCTTTGAAAACGGGTCAACGGCTGAAGGCCGTTGCCCGGAAGCTAGGGGGGGCGGGAAGGGGGGGAGGCAGTCGCCGCGCGGTCTCACCTGGTGTAGAGCAGCAGCGGCGCCCCCTCCTCGGCAGGCGGCGACAGTGGCGACACCATGCGGACTGGCACAGAAACACGACACTGCTTCAAGGTCACAGGGAATATAATTCCCGACCTTTTGGCCAAGATCAAAGTCAAAAAGCGCCTCGCGCGACTTCAAAATAGGTTAACAAACCCACAGATACTACACTTTGATCTTAGCCAAAAGGCCGAGAAGCGATACTTAAGCACAACACTTTAAGATACTTATGCAGTTAAGGGATAACTATTAGTACTAGTAACGATGCAGAGCTATAACGTGAGCGCTAGTGGCCACGGCGAGTGATAAGAGTGGTCCATTATGTTACATTCAAAGTATACGCAGTTTCAGTTTATCCTCACCATGGTAAGTATCTGTAAGCACAAAAGATCGCCAAACTCGAAATAATTTCGAATTAGTGGCTCTCGACCGTGCGTTTGTACACACGCAAATGGAGACGGCGGCGCCGCGCCGACAGTTATCAGTCGTGCGACATCAGATGGCAGCACAGTCGAACACCACGACGTATGGCAGCGCTCTACCCCCCCCCCCCCCCCAGCTCTACCCCCCCCCCCTAGCTGCATGCAGACAAAAGCATGCATCGCAAAAGTACGTATTGCACATGTACGTCAGCAAAAGTACTGATTAATCATGTACGTAACGAATAAGGCACGTATCGACAAAAATGTATCTTAATAGTAGTTAATGGCCATTTTCACGACGGTCTATCCGGCGAATGCACCTGATGTGATCAAATCTGCACGTACTTTCGTTTACAGCAAATAGCTTCATTTTATGAATTTATTAGTGTTTTAATCGATGATGCTCTCTGAAAATATGACAAAGCAGGCATATAAGAAATTAGTGCATATAAGCTAGTAGTGCTAGCTGATAGCTGCAAAGAGGACACACTGAACCTGAATTGACTAATTCTGCACTTTATCTGTACCACCTGTGCATCAAATGTGTACCAGATGGCCGTCGTGAAAACGGCTAACATGAATAAATAAAGCATTTGTCAGGACCTTACCAAAGCACAGATGTAAGGAATGTCGATAGATACTGCTATTTTTCCAGTTACTTTTTTCATTTCGATATACGATTGCACGCCTCACGCTATAGCAAAACTAATACAAAGAGAAAAGTTTTAAAAACATATGATGCTTTACGTAAGGCAAAGCTGTCGTCACCCACAACTTCCCACACGCTTCCCCACTGTCCATCTTAGATACCGAATGAATAGTGATAAAGATGTCAGCTTTACAGGTACCTCAGTTAGATGATGATGCACCGTCTTTACTGAGTTTCACCAGATAGAGCGGCCTTGCCAGTCACATTTTAGGACGCCGATGCACCGTGTACTTGAAAGATGTCGATTGTCTGGGAACAAAATAAATGCGTGAATTAATTCGCCTATTGTAGCGGTTATCGTGGCTCGGGTCGGGGGCGGCACGTAGTAGCGGAATTCGAGAAAAAAAAAACGTCTATAATCATAATGATATTGATTGGGTCATTTTTCTTCATGACCTGAGATGACCTCAGGGACATTGAGGGGTCACAGGTACAATTTGCCGATACCCGTATTTTTCTTCCATTTAGTATGAGCGTTTGTCTATGATCGTGATCAAAAAGAGGTGTATTTTCATGTTTTGTCAATTTTTATTGTCAGATATCTTAAAAGTATCTTTATCCTTTTATTCCACTACATATCACAACGCATGATAACAAAAGTGGGCCGATCCTGGCTGTAGTGCAATGCCAGGCCAACCCGCGGCAGGGCTGGAGCAAGCTCCAAAAACCCCGCCAAAGTCCAAAAATCAGTTTAATATTCTGGTCCCCATGTAGGGGACGTATCAGATATTAAGCTGATAAGAACAGAGGTGTGTATATAAGTGCATGTTGGTGGCATGGGTTTGAGAAAGGTAAGCCAACCAAGAGCAAATATATCCCGACCTAGTGGTTTCAGACCGGTGTGCAAATATCCGGGGCCAAGACCCGCCCCCCGCCCCCAAAGGGCGGCGGCCCTGGAGGTGACCAGGCTCCGTACAGATTTTTTTTATTTACTACACTTTGATCTTAGCCAAAAGGCCGAGAAGCGATACTTAAGCACAACACTTTAAGATACTTATGCAGTTAAGGGATAACTATTAGTACTAGTAACGATGCAGAGCTATAACGTGAGCGCTAGTGGCCACGGCGAGTGATAAGAGTGGTCCATTATGTTACATTCAAAGTATACGCAGTTTCAGTTTATCCTCACCATGGTAAGTATCTGTAAGCACAAAAGATCGCCAAACTCGAAATAATTTCGAATTAGTGGCTCTCGACCGTGCGTTTGTACACACGCAAATGGAGACGGCGGCGCCGCGCCGACAGTTATCAGTCGTGCGACATCAGATGGCAGCACAGTCGAACACCACGACGTATGGCAGCGCTCTACCCCCCCCCCCCCCCCCAGCTCTACCCCCCCCCTAGCTGCATGCAGACAAAAGCATGCATCGCAAAAGTACGTATTGCACATGTACGTCAGCAAAAGTACTGATTAATCATGTACGTAACGAATAAGGCACGTATCGACAAAAATGTATCTTAATAGTAGTTAATGGCCATTTTCACGACGGTCTATCCGGCGAATGCACCTGATGTGATCAAATCTGCACGTACTTTCGTTTACAGCAAATAGCTTCATTTTATGAATTTATTAGTGTTTTAATCGATGATGCTCTCTGAAAATATGACAAAGCAGGCATATAAGAAATTAGTGCATATAAGCTAGTAGTGCTAGCTGATAGCTGCAAAGAGGACACACTGAACCTGAATTGACTAATTCTGCACTTTATCTGTACCACCTGTGCATCAAATGTGTACCAGATGGCCGTCGTGAAAACGGCTAACATGAATAAATAAAGCATTTGTCAGGACCTTACCAAAGCACAGATGTAAGGAATGTCGATAGATACTGCTATTTTTCCAGTTACTTTTTTCATTTCGATATACGATTGCACGCCTCACGCTATAGCAAAACTAATACAAAGAGAAAAGTTTTAAAAACATATGATGCTTTACGTAAGGCAAAGCTGTCGTCACCCACAACTTCCCACACGCTTCCCCACTGTCCATCTTAGATACCGAATGAATAGTGATAAAGATGTCAGCTTTACAGGTACCTCAGTTAGATGATGATGCACCGTCTTTACTGAGTTTCACCAGATAGAGCGGCCTTGCCAGTCACATTTTAGGACGCCGATGCACCGTGTACTTGAAAGATGTCGATTGTCTGGGAACAAAATAAATGCGTGAATTAATTCGCCTATTGTAGCGGTTATCGTGGCTCGGGTCGGGGGCGGCACGTAGTAGCGGAATTCGAGAAAAAAAAACGTCTATAATCATAATGATATTGATTGGGTCATTTTTCTTCATGACCTGAGATGACCTCAGGGACATTGAGGGGTCACAGGTACAATTTGCCGATACCCGTATTTTTCTTCCATTTAGTATGAGCGTTTGTCTATGATCGTGATCAAAAAGAGGTGTATTTTCATGTTTTGTCAATTTTTATTGTCAGATATCTTAAAAGTATCTTTATCCTTTTATTCCACTACATATCACAACGCATGATAACAAAAGTGGGCCGATCCTGGCTGTAGTGCAATGCCAGGCCAACCCGCGGCAGGGCTGGAGCAAGCTCCAAAAACCCCGCCAAAGTCCAAAAATCAGTTTAATATTCTGGTCCCCATGTAGGGGACGTATCAGATATTAAGCTGATAAGAACAGATTTTTTAGCGTATAGAGCATGTTTTAGCGGCGTGCTTTGTAAAAGAAAGGTAGCCAACCAAAAGCATGTCTATCCCGACCAATGAGCCGCGATCATGTGCAAATACCGGGGGAATGCCCCACAGATACTACACTTTGATCTTAGCCAAAAGGCCGAGAAGCGATACTTAAGCACAACACTTTAAGATACTTATGCAGTTAAGGGATAACTATTAGTACTAGTAACGATGCAGAGCTATAACGTGAGCGCTAGTGGCCACGGCGAGTGATAAGAGTGGTCCATTATGTTACATTCAAAGTATACGCAGTTTCAGTTTATCCTCACCATGGTAAGTATCTGTAAGCACAAAAGATCGCTGTAGTATATTAACGTAAAGCAAGAATGAAATACGTAACGAAAGAGTTCAAATAAGCGCCAAAAGAACACATCAGCCTCGACCGGCCGCACCGCGCGCACACAGGCACGGCATGATGGAAAGTTCCCAACACAGGATCACGATACCACACTTTTCTCCCCCCTTAAACAAAGCGATCCGGCGCACGTACGACACGTCCACTACGCGTTCGATACGGCGAAGCCGGCTCCGAAGATGACGCCGACTCGTCACCCGCACGCTCGGTCGTCGTCGTCCCGGTTTCCGCCTGGTGATCTCCTCCAGCACGATGAACAGCACCATCGCCAGCGTCGCGAGGTAGGCTAGGCGCTGCGGCTGCTCCGGCGACGGACGACTGCTCCGACGTCACGTCACCAGTGGCAGCGCTGGCAGCGGCGTCGACTGCGATTGGCGCTCGCCGTCGCAGCCCGACGGTCGACGACGCAGCAGAGTCTGTGACTGGCTGACAGGGCAGGTCCACCTCGGCCTCCGGTACTCCAGTGCACTCAGGAGACGGTGCAGACCTGGGAAGATCGGGTGGTGAGCAGCGAGACAGGCGCTCCGCGTGGACACGCACTCCACCCTCCAGCTCATACGAAGCAGGTCCACGACGAGCAGTTACACGACACGGTGACGAGAAACGCGGGCGTCCTTTACGTGGCCGCGGCATCACCCGATACCGGACCCAGTCTCCCACCTGGATGGTCGGTGCACAGACCCGCTTCCTGTTGTCGAAGTGTCGCTTCATCTGGCGCTGCTTTCGGCTGACCCGTTGTCGCAAGGCGGCGTCTCCGGTGCTGCCACCTTCCGGTGCGACTGCGCTGTCCAGGTCCGTCCGCATCTGCCGGCCGTGGAGCAGCTCGGACGGGCTCCGGCCGGTCGTTCCGTGCGGCGTCGCTCGGTACGTGCGGAGGTAGGACTGCAGGTACTGTCGGCGGTCCACCGACTGCTGGTCCGCCATCTGGAGAGCAGATTTGATGTCACGATTCAAACGCTCTACAGCACCACTACCTGCAGGGTGATACGGTGACACTCTGACATGCTTGACACCATGCTTCTTCAGAAACTGTCCAAACTTCACAGATGTGAAGTGAGTACCGTTATCAGTGACAACCTCCCTTGGCCATCCCTCCCGTGACGTCACAGTCAGCAGAAAGTCAATGACAGCATCACTTGACGGTTCACGGACAAACGCCATCTCTGGCCATTTCGAGTAATAGTCTACGAGGACTATCGCATACCTTTGATTTGGTGGTCCTGTCATCGGGCCGATGAAGTCAAGTCCCACCTTATCCCAGGCTGCAGCTGGCAGGGGAACAGGACTGAGTGGTGCGAACCTCGTCTTCGCCGTCTTGTCGGCCACGATGCAGGCTGGGCACTCCTTGATGGTCGTCTCCACCGCTGCGTCCATTCCGGGCCACCAGAACAGCGCTCGAAGCCGCTGTTTGGTCCGGACGATACCCTGGTGGGATTCATGTGCCAGCGTCAGCAACCGAGGTCTGAGCACAGTGGGAACCACGATCCGTTCACCACGCAAAATCAGCTCACCGTCGATAGCTAGCTCCTGCTTACAGCGGAAATACGGCCTGAGGACGTCATCAACATCACTGAAGCGACGGGGCCACTCCCGAGGGATCTGGTCCATCAGGGCCCTTACCTCAGCGTCTTCCCGTCCCGCTACCGCTAGCTCCTCACGGCTGACGGCTGACGTCTCGTCGGCGAGGCAGGCCACCAGCTCGGACTCGTCATCCTCGACCTCTTGCTCCGGTCCCGGCAGTCTGGAGAGGCCGTCAGACGGGTTCAGCTGGCCCTTGACGTGTTCCACTGCAAACGAGTAGTTCATCAGGCGCACCGCCCAGCGAGACATCCTCATGCCGGCACGACCAACACCCCTGACAGTCAACAGCGATTTCAAGGCAGCATGATCGGTACGTAGCACAAACTCTTGACCCCACAGATATTTGTGCCATTTTTCACAGGCCCAGACGCACGCTAACCCCTCACGCTCTGTGACACTGTACCTCCGTTGTGCAGCGTTGAGCGTGGACGAAGCGAAGGCGACGACTCTCTCGCCCTCAGGATGTACCTGGCTCAAGACGGCTCCCAAGCCGACATCACTGGCGTCCGTCGTGACAACGGTCGGCAGGCTGGGGTCGAACATCGACAGGGCGTCAGAGTCGAGGATCGCCTGCCGGACGTCGTTGAACGCCGCATCCATCTCTGGAGTCCAGGCGAACTCTGGAGCATCCTTCCTCAGCTGGCGTCTGAGAGACTCGACGCGGGTACTGTAACCTGGAACAAACTTACAGTAGAAGCCCAGGGAACCCAGCACAGCCTGCAGCTCCTTCTTCGACTTCGGCACCGCCAGGCTACGCAAGCCCTGGACGCGCTCAGACGACACGGAGATCCTGCCGTCAGTCACGGTGAAACCCAGGAAGTCCACCGACGTCACTCCGATCTTGCACTTCTGACGGTTCAGCGTGATGTTGTGGTCCTCCAGTCGCCGAAGAACCTGTTGGAGGTGGTCATCGTGCTCTTGCCGGCTGCACCCAGTGACGATCACATCGTCGAGGTACACATGCACCCCTGGCACACCGGTCAGCACACACTCCATCAGCTTCTGGAAGCATTGCGGCATGCTCTTCAACCCAAAGCAGCATCTTCGATACCTCCAGGTCTGGCCGTCGTGGATGAACGCCGTCAGGTCCCTGGACGACTCGTGGAGCTCCAACTGGTGGTACGCCGACTTCATGTCTAGAGTCGACATGCACTTCGCAC